CTCGCATAGGTTTTATCAACACCCCCAGCGGGAGTCGAACCGTGACAGTGCAGAATGTGAGCTTGACACGGTAGCCACTCGGAAACATTGCCACGAGTGCCCTTGGGTCACAGGGCAGATGTGAAGTTCAGGAAAGGCCAGGCATTTTGCCATATCATATTCTTTAGTGGGATTGTCGATGAAGCAAACTTATATTTGCTATAACAATTGACTAAGTTACTTTTTTTTCGTGTTTAAGTAGAGTCTCAAGACTACCAGTAAATCAGTAATATGATATGTACTCATATAATTGTGGGGAAATTCTACTACCAGCCCTTCATCACCTTAAACGAAATAGGATGAATACATCTCATATTGCAGCCTACTCTGTTTGGGAATAGCTTTTTGGCAGCAAGGCTAAGGGAAATAAAATGGCATCGCCACTGTGGGAAAATTCAATTAGACCTACTTCTTCACCTTCCACGACCTCGGTTATCTTCACCTCTTGCTCTCCATGTCTATATTGGAAAGGGAAAATGAACTCTTGGCCTGGAGACGAATGAGTCAACTTGGCGGAATTCATTTGTCGTTTAAAAGTAGGGTCTCGAGACAACCAGTAAGTCAATTAAATGAAGTGTATTCACATTATCTCATTTAAGGAGATAAAAGACTGTCAGGAGAATTTTCCCACAATTATATGAATAGAGCTGACAATTCCATTGAATTTTACATATCCTTGCTTTCCCAGAAGGTGTTCTCGTCTCGGGTGGACTGCAGTTTCAATCTCGCCCAGATCTCCTCAACACCTCCTGCGGGACTCAAACCATGAAAGTGCTGCCTGTACTCTCGACACGTTACCCACTACGCCACGTTGCTACGAGTGCTTTTGGGTAGTAGGGTAGATATAAATTTCAGAGAAATTTATTTGTAGGAAGAGCAAATTGGAGTAGCCTTAAGTTTTTTCAGTCTCGCTTGGTTTTCACAACTTAGTTATGCTCTGAGGGTGAATTCGACTAACGTAGCACATCCAATTTCATCTGAATGGATACATTGCCAGAATTTCCTCCGTCATCATGTCTACAGCTTCGATCAAAAGCGCCATTCGTTTTTGTTCAACCCTTTTCATATCCTTTCTCTCGGCTGTCCTCGTCCCCATTTGACTTAGAACTCTCATTCCTCATGCCTCAATTTTCCTATCCTTGTTTATTCCAACACATCTTTGTGCTTTAATTGCATGAAATCAGTCTTTAGGTTGCCTTCCAGTCGACGTTGGTGCAAGTCAGCGCAATTTGTTCTGATATTTTCCGATGCTTTCTTCTTCGAGAATTTGCAGAGCACCGATGTGATGCTTTCCCATCTGTCCAACGTAAATTGTCTCACAGGTTCTGCCACCAACAGATATATATATTTTTTGGCAAATTCACGTCCCTTAGGCAAGAATGTAAAGAGTGATGTCCTTTCCTTTAGGATCCTACAGATGTCCCAGTTGATTAGAGGTGATAATAGCTCTTAGGCCATTTTCTTTTATTATGTCTTTTCTGCCATCTGCTCATCATTACGCGATGTCTACATTAGATATCGTTTTCAACGCAAAATTTGAGTCAATTTGCTCACTTCATCTTGTTCTAATTTTTTACACCGCAGTCTTACGCAGGAATACTTTTTCCTTGTCAAACTACTCATGAGTACAGTCCGAAGACCGTAGTCACGAGACGTTTAGAAGCCATAATAAGCCAAAGACTAGCTGTTTTATCGGAAGCCAGGGGCCTCAAGACATGTCAGGAGATGGCGTGAAGAGCGGTCAGGGTCCTCAAGCCAGTTGGTATTAGAAGACCAGCATGCTGAAGGGTCACGATTTTGAGCCGACGTACGACAGCAACTCGGATCAGGAGCCCTGCGAACGGAATGGGAAACCAATGGTTGAATTGTCATCTTGACGAGTTTGGGCTCAATTCCAGGACTGGCATACCTCAATGGCTATGCCGACTAGAGTGCTGGTGGAGCGTCCGAGACGTTGCCCAGTGAAACGTCCGATTCTAAAAAAATACATGGCAACAATGGCAGAGGACACGCCACTAAGCCTCCTTCAAACCACGATTAGGGTTCGAGAACTAAAACTAATCATGTATATACGATGTATCCATCCTTTTAGTTTAGGGTGATGAGAGGACTGGCAATGGAATTATCCTATAATGATATGAGTAGACATGACGTTTCTATCAAATTTCGCGTAGCCTTGATTTCCCAAAGGGTATTCTCATCCACAATGGAATGGAGTTTCGAAACCTTGAAGGCCCACGTATAAAACGGAAAATAATTTTCATGAAGTCGATTACTATGGCAAATACAACATTGCATCCTCGATAATCCTACCACAGAATGTAGTATAGGAAAATGCCTGATCTTCCTTGGATTTCACCCAATGGCACTCATAGCAATCTGGTGTATTGGTTACCGTGTCGAGAGTATAAGCCCAGGCGAGTTCGAAATTTCAGTACAGCCTGAATGAGCGGTACCTTTGGGAAAGCAAGGCTATGTGAAATTCAGTATAAACGTCATGTCTACACATATGACTGTGGGAAAATTCAACTACTAGTCCTCTTATTACTCTAAACGATATGGGATGAATACATCTCATGTATATGATCTACTGGTAGTCTTGAAAGCCTACTTATAAAAACGTAAAAATAGAGCTAATCAGCTCGGAGTGATTCACGCTACGCATGCCCGCTTACCTTATACTTGTAGTGGTACTGGCTGAAAAGGACACCTTGAATGGCTAAGATGATTATGATGACGGATTTCTTGACCCTTCTATTCAATTTCCTCCCCTTTGATAAGGGCAGCAACAACCGAGATCGTTTTTTAATCTACAGCCAGTCTTACTTCGTTGCCTTTTTTACGAGATACTATCCTCTAATCCAGTCAAAAAAAGGCTTGACTCTACATACCAAATGCCACTAAACTTCACGAGTTATGATCTCCGTTTTCGTGGACTAAATGCGTATCAACCACACCCTTTTTCCACCTTTTCAATGACCTATATATTTTAGTATACCAAATGTCGTCTGCATTTCTATATTAAATAGTGTTGTGGCACCTCGTTAAACTCGTCCTTAACAAAGCATGACAATATCTACAATGTGAAAATAGTGGGCATTCATGCAGACATGAGTACTAAAGTGGACTCTGAAAGCGATTTGAAAGCAAAGTACGAAGTGGTTTCTCGAGAATTACACAATGTTGATGGCTGCCATTTATACAATGTGAAATTGCGATAGATGGTCTATTTTAGAGCATCGTTGATTCTCTTAACATGTTTGCAAAGCGAGAGAATAAACCTAGCATTTGGGTCATCAAGACTAAAAAGCACGTTTAGCATCTTGTGAAATACGTGGACACCAAAGATTTTCAAAGAAAATCAGATAATGTGAGAAGGTGCTTTACGTATCCTTTAAAATTAAATCTCGTGAATGAAAATTATGCTCGTAACCACACCTCAACTAATGGTAGCCAACCAAATCCAAAATAAGAAAAAACTTTTCAATCAGGGATTCAGAAGAGGACCATTTCAAAGAACCATCCGATATCAAATTTTATCATTTAGTGCGACGAAAGTGAATTGATTTAGATTCAGCTTCCGATTGAGATGATGCATCTGACCCTCTCTTTATAAATAATGCTGATTCCACAAAAATGCACATATACGCTTATGCTCACATGCCTCACACAAACACGCGTAAACATTCACAACCGCCTGCATACTTACAACTTCATCAACACACACACACACCTACACGCATACATAGATATATGTGTAGATATACACGGGCTTACACATACACACCTACAAATAAATTAACGCAAGCATGCATATACCTTCGCATATACAAACATACAGATGATGATATACATGCATACACGAGCATACTTTATTCTTTTCTTCCAGTTCTGGAGGCCTAAAAAGTCTTTAATTGCTGCCACTCATTAAGTGCAGGTTCACTAAACCATATAATCAGGACCGCTGGAGAAGGATGAGTCTGCAGGATGGACTGGCTCTTAGCAGTGCATAATTTGAGCATTAAGAGAAGTCAACAAGTTCCTGATGAAAGTGAAGGGAATTATGTAATACTATATTGACTAAGGTGAATAAATTCTTTGATAATTAGCTTTTGAGAATAATAATTCTATTGGCATTTTGACTCAACTCCAACCAAGTCATGAGCTACTCATTGGAAAACTAGCAGAACCTCACCCTGTACTCGACTGTTTAACATCTCTGGGTTGTAAAAAATCCAAATGAGGGTAGTGTAAATCACTTTCTATGCCAATGCTATTTCAACCTTATTTTGGGTTAAAAAAATTTTCAAAGGTCTACTGACTTTCTTTGATCCAGGCTGTTGCAAAGTTTATATGCATAAAAATTCTAGAGATGCAACTTTCATTAAAGCAGTGAAAATTGTGAAATGTCGGATGGCGACATGGTCACAAGTTTCGCTCAATGAAAGGCTTC